CCATGGTATATAGATTAATTTCTGCTGAATGACTTGATTTGGTTGCAAATTGTACAATGTAGACTATTATTTTGTGAATATCATATTGCATGTACATTACACACAGTATTTGCACATTCACACCCTGTATTATGTGTGTCTTAAGCAGTACATACATTTTCCACCAGACCAGTATCAACAGCAAGTAAAGATTCTATTCTAGTCGATTCGAAATTTTGCTACAGAGTTTTACCGCCATCTGGTGTTCCGTAAAACATTTGGAAAAATAAATACATAAATAAATAAATAAACAAAATAAATTATATAATTGGAATCTGAAAGATACTTCCAAATGCTGTAACAGGGTGTTTCTAGTTTGTTTGCATTTGACAACATTATTAGTCTATTATTATAAGAAAGATGCAATGAGTTATGATCACTTTACGGTTGCTGCTATTTTAAATAACAACAACATCAACATAAAAATGTTTTTTGAAGATAAACAGCTGCCATTTCTCATTCAAACTTCATTAAGCAGCATTTAAACACTTAACACAAACACTTACAAATAGGCTAATCACGAATTTAAATTCCAGAAGTAGACTATAGGATTAGAAGCCCTAACAAGTGTGCATTATATGTTGTTTCAAAGACTTTCACAAACATTTTAAAATAACAATTAAAAGAAAGAAAGACAAACAAATACATAATTTACCCTGAGCGTGTTTTTATTATTGAGATTACACAAACACACACATAAAATAATAACCCGTGAGTGTGAGGTGATAAATGGCAGAGATGAAGTGTTAACTGAAATCAAGCAGACCTGCATCTCCTTAATGTTGTCCACTGGGGCAGAGGGCTGATGAGATCCCCTGGACCTGATGTTTGACTTCACTGACCGGTAACTCAAAGCCATGGTCTTCCCACTGACATTTTAAGAAGTTTATAGGTATGTAAATCTCATTTTAAAGCTAAACGCACATTTTCCACGCTGTCTTATTGGCGTCCAGAAGGATTTTAGTGTTACCCATGCTGTGAAGGCGCCTCCCAGACAACACTTTACTTTCTCCACTATACATTGTTGTTGGCAGTTGCCATGGAGATGCCGACGTCAGGGGTAACGTTTTAGGGGTAAAATGAAAGTGCCCCGGTGCAGTAAGACCAGAGAACAAAAGTCTCACTTCCATTTCAAATGGAACCCATAAATACACGCCTTTTTTGCTATTTAAACGACTTTAAGCTGCATGAACGGTTTCTAATGTTTATTGCCTACGATACATTTCCGTAATGTTAACAACGTTATGTTCAGGAATGTTGGGGGCGAATCATCTAAAGGCAGCAGATTTATATTACTCAAACGCAGGTCATCAGATTTAGAGTTCAAATAACTCCTGTTTTAGAAATGTAGCTACCATTAACTACTAAAAGTAGTGCGCCGGTTGCTGTGATTGTGAAGGGTCTGTCCCGAGGTCGTGTTCTTGCTTAGGTTTTCATAACATTTATAGAGGGCGCTATTCTAATTCCACTGTACGACTGTTAATTCCTGAGCACTTTCACTAGAGGGCCCAATTGTTTCAGTTCTCACATCATTTCATGCTACATTGTAACATGTCAGTGAACAGATGGGTGAATATTGATACACTGATGCAATATATAACAATATATAATACACTTCCAATTTGTATCCAGAGGCTGTTCGAAATAAGAGAAAGTCAGTATAAACTAAGAAGAATGTGTTTAAAAAAGTAAGAGCAAGAACTAATGCAAAAATAGGCGTATATCTGTCAAAGGGGTACATCTATTGAATAATTTTGATAAGGAATTAAAATGATTTATTTCACTTTGCAAATGTAAGAAAATGTATAAAAACAAGGTGATAAATAATTGTATGACTCAATATGAATAATGTGTGTATGTATTCTTTAAAATATTTAAGTAATAGCTAAAATGTGTATATTTGTAATTATGTAGGCTATGTGTGGAATTATGTATGTACATTTTTGGAAATGTCTTACGCAACTTCTGTTTATGTTGTAGTATCAAATCGAGTGAAAAGGTGAGGTTCATCATATGTATAAAGGGTAGGCATAATAAGCAAAGTCTTCGACCATCACCTTTTTTGGTAATTGTTTATTTATTTGTGAAAAGTTGTCTGTGATGACCGCAATATTTTTTTGATGATGATGATAATGATGAATATTACGCAGCTGGATGAATCGTTTTTTTTTTTTTTTTTACTAATAATTTCATTGCATTTGCACGTAAATTATGCATTAAATACACACAACGTGTGGGTTCAGTAAACATTTAATGATGTTGATAATCAGTGCTTAAAAAGCCACATACAGAATTTTGTGTGTATGGTATATTTAAAATCTGGTAATTTGTTTGATTTTACATAGTAGTGAATTTATCAGAAATATATCAGCAAACCATAATTTATAAATGTATTTATGCTCTTTCAGAACTGAAATAACAAAAAAGTACATGTTGTGACTGCTGAATTTGATTGTAATTCAGTCAATTGCAGTGAAGCAAATTTGTAATAAAATATTTTATTTCGTTGATCAGTATGTTGTCCTAACCCATGAGACCCCCAAGACTGCCAATCTCACCTATATCGACCTTTTTATGAAAATTACTTAGCAAAACGTATGCTTAAGATTCATATCTGTGAAAATGTTTACTTTTTTGAAAATAAAAGTTCACTCACATGTATAGGCCATTCAAGCTGCCGTAGAAGTATTTAGTAGCCTATTTCATTTTATTGAATCATATCTTGTAGGCTAAATAAACGGAGGTTTAGACTTTTTTTTTTTTTTTTTGTAAATGAATGGAAAAGGCATCCTAAATGTGCTTCTTGACGTTTTGTAATTTTGAGCTACAGCATTGTGATGTTGCTGAGGTGACCTGTGGTGTG